TCCACTCTCATCAGCACGGCTGTTTGCCGGCTTTGCAGAGATTCGGCGCCCGCGAAGAAACGCAGCTCCGAACCATGGCATGTTCTCGAGACCAGAGGCCTCGTGGAAACATCGCAGCGCGCGCGGTTCGCCACCATCACTTTCCATGCCTGCGCCTCGAGTGTATGAGTGGCCATCAAGCTGCCGAGCGAAAGCGGGGGCCTGCCAACAAGCCAGGCCCCTTGGAACGCACAGCTGGGCGGCTGGCGCGCTGCAGCTGAGGATGGCAAGAAGCCGGTGCCGCAACCAATGGCGGGTACGTGCCGCGCCGATTGCCGTGGGGCGGGGGGGCCTCCCGCTCCTGCTCCTCCAGCTCCTGCGCTTCTCGGAGGTGGACGGAAACTCCTTCGGCAGCCGCGGTCCAAGACAGCCAGACCGCGGTGCGCAAGTGGGTGGGGACCCGGGGAGCGAGTGGAGGCGCGAAGGCGAGAAGGAAGAGAGCGCGAAAGGCCCTTCGGCAAAACGCTCTTCGTGAACTGGCCTGGGGGGGACCCGACTCCGCGGGCTCAGGCCCCCGACGGAACGCCTCGGTCGTCCTCCTTCTCCTCCTCCTCCTGCTCCTCCTCCTGCTCCTCCTCCTCCTCCTCCTCTTCCTCCTCCTGCTCCTCTTCCTCCTCCCTCTCCTCTTCCTCCTGCTCCTCCTCCCTCCTCCCTCCTCGCCGGGGCCGCCGCACGCCTGGAGTTGCGGCGGCTGACGGGGACGCTGCCGACCCCAGCCTGGCTCTGGTCCCCGCCGCCGGCGCGCAGCTGGCTCGCCCGGATGCTCGCGCCCAGGGCCTCGCCGCGGGGGGTTCGAGGATCCTCGGGACGTGCGCTTACGAACACTTTCTCCCTCCTCCTCCTCCCGCCCTCTCCCTCCTCCTCCCACTCCCTCCTCCTCTCTTTTTTTTCCTTCCTCCTCTCTCTCCTCCCTCCTCGTCCTCCTCCTCCTCCTCCTACCTCTACCCCTACTCCCTCCCCGCCATCATCCTCTCCTCATCCTCCTCATCCTCTCCCCTCTCGTCCTCCTCCTCCTGCCTCGCCCTCTGCTCCTCGAGCTGTGGGGCCCCGCCCCCCCCCCCCAAAAGAGGATCCTCGGGACGTGCGCTTGGGAACACTTCTCGGCGGCGCAGCGCGGCGAGGGGAAGAGGAACGACCGAGCCCCTTTTGAAAAGGAAGCGTTCCTTATTCAAGCCGCTCACTGTAAGCACAAGAGCTCGGAGGTCCGCGCAGATTTCTCGGATCGAGGCTGGAGCCCCCTGGCGGAGCCTCCTGCGCCGCCCCTGGCGCGCTCCGCGCGCCAAAGAGGGGGGGGTCTAACGCTGATCCAAAACATCCGCGCGGACCTCCGAGTCTTTTTTTAGGTTTATGCTAGTGTTTGTTTCCCGAGCGCTGGCGCCAGCACTGTGCAACTTAGCTGCCCCGATACGCAACACGCAACACGCAGCGTATTGATACGGGGCTCAACACGCAGACTGAACACGTGCATTTTGAACACGGACGTTTTGAACACGGCACGTGTTACGTTTCAAAACGTGCGTATCAGAGCAGCTAAACTGTGGCAGCTTCTCGACCTGTGGCGTTGTGGCTCTTTCAGTCCTGGCGGTTTCCGCCTCGCCCTCGGCCTGCGGGTGGCCCTTCTCGGGACTATCCGAAGCGCAGCCAGGACGAGGCACTACCCCTGCGGCAGCGGTCGGGACTCCTGGGGCCGTGGATTGACAAAATCAGATCGGCGGGGGCCAGGGATTTCTGCCCGAATCGGCGCGGTCCCCCGCAGCGCTGGCCGCAGCGCTTCAGCCAGGCTCGCATCGGCCAGCGTTTCGGCCAGCACCCCTGCGCTTGTCCACCCCCAGCCCTCCGACACGGCGAGGGGCGGCGTGACGAGTACAGGCACGGGCTCCGTGCCGTCGATGGGGGGGAGCGGGGCCGGGGAGAGGATCCTCAGGCTCGCGTCGGGGCTCCCCTCTTTGGGGGGGGGTCGCCATATGGGTACGGGGCGGGGTGTTGGGCGTCTGGGCTGGTGGTGAGGGCGCCGTGCCTCCGCCAGCTGGCGACCTGCCCACGGGCGTCCTCGGCGGAGCGGGGGCATGCACGCACTGGGCAAGCACATGCCCTGAGGCTCGTTGAGACGGAGGAGAGGCCACCTGTCGGCCGAGCCCATGGACCAGACCCAAACACCCAGACCTCCGACGTCGTCGTCGTTTTCTTTGTTGTTTTGTGTTTTGTTTGTTCCCCACATGTTTCGTGGGGTTCTGGTTTTCTTCCCTGCCGCGGCGCACCCGCGTCTCCTCCTCCTCACCTTCCTCCCCTCCTCCCTCCCCATCTTCCTCTCCTCACCCGCGCTCAACACATGCACGGCAAGTACGTGAGACACGCGTCTACATACAGCCGCACGCATGCACACACTCGCACACAACACACACACACCATACAACGCTAGTGCGCGTCGGATACGTGGCAGGCGCAGCAGTTTCTCGACACCACAGGGGGTGCGCAGGGGGTGGTCTTTCAGTGCGGTCTCTATCCGTCGCACGCTCGCAAAGCGCGGAAGGCGTGGCATTTCCTCGACACCAGAGGGGGTGCGCAGGGGGTGCGGTCTCTATCCGTCGCACGCCCGCAAAGCGCGGCAGGCGTGGCATTTCCTCGACACCAGGAGGGTGCGCAGGGGGTGCGGTCTCTATCCGTCGCACGCTCGCAAAGCGCGGCAGGCGTGTTAGTTCATCGACACGGGAGGGGGTGCGCAGTTGGTGCGGTCTGTATGTGTCGCACGCCCGCAAAGCGCGGCAGGCGTGGCATTTTCTCGACACCAGGGGGGTGCGCAGGGGGTGCGGTCTTCTGTCCGTCGCACCGGCGCAAGCCGGCAGGCGTGCATGAGCTCGGCACCACGGGGGTGCGCAGGGTTGCGGTCTGTATCCGGCGCACCCTCGCAAAGCGCTGGCAGGCGTGGCATTTCCCCGGACGCCAGGCGGGGGTGCGAGGGGGGGCGGTCTCTGTCCAGCGCACGCTCGAAAAAGCGCAGGCAAGCGTGGCATTTCTCGCCACCAGGAGGGTGCGCAGGGGATGCGTTCTCCATCCGTCGCACGCTCGCAAAGCGCGGCAGGCGTGGTAGTTCATCGACACGAGAGGGGGTGCGCAGTTGGTGCGGTTTGTATCCGTCGCACGCTCGCAAAACGCGGCGGGCGTGGCATTTCCTCCACACCAGGGGCGGGCGCAGGGGGTGCGGTCTGTATCCGCCGCACGCTCGCAAAGCGCGGCAGGCGTGGTAGTGTATCGACACGAAAGGAGGTGCGCTGGGGGTGCGGTCTCTATCCGTCGCACGTTTGCAAATCGCGGCAGGCGTGGCATTCCTTCGACACCAGGGGGTGCGCAGGGGGTGCGGTCTCTATCCGTCGCACGCCCGCAAAGCGCGGCAGGCGTGACATTTCCTCGACACCAGGGGGGGCGCAGAGGGTGCGGTCTCTATCCGTCGCACGCTCGCAAAGCGCGGCAGGCGTGGCATTCCCTCGACACCAGAGGGGGGTGCGCAATTGGTGCGGTCTGTATCCGGCGCGCGCTCGCAAAGCGCGGCAGGCGTGGCATTTCCTCGACACCAGGAGGGTGCGCAGGGGATGCGGTCTCCATCCTTCGCACGCTCGCAAAGCGCGGCAGGCGTGGTAGTTCATCGACACGAGAGGGGGTGCGCAGTTGGTGCGGTTTGTATCCGTCGCACGCTCGCAAAGCGCGGCAGGCGTGGGGAGTTCATCGACACGACGAGGGGGGCGCAGTTGGGGCGGTCTCTATCCGTCGCACGCTCGCACAGCGCGGCAGGCGTGGCATTTCCTCCACACCAGGGGGGGTGCGCAGGGGGTGCGGTCTCTATCCGTCGCACGGTCGCAAAGCGCGGCAGGCGTAGCATTTCCTCCACACCAGGGGGGTGCGCAGGGGGTGCGGTCTCTATCCGTCGCACGCTCGCAAAGCGCGGCAAGCGTAGCATTTCCTCGACACCAGGGGGGGTGCGCAAGGGGTTGCGGTCTCTATTCCGGGTCGCACGCTCGCAAGCGCGGCAGGCGTAGCATTTCCTCGACACCAGAGGGGGTGCGCAAGGGTCGCACGCTCGCAAAGCGCGGCAGGCGTAGCAGTTCCGCGGCAGGCAAACACATAAGACTTACATCAAGTATGTGGGTTCCTCGGTAGCGTAATTTTGTTTTTTCTTTTATCCCTTGCCTGGGGATCAGGTTTACATCTGGAGTCGCTCTTTGGTGGTCGTGGGGCGCGGTGATGGCCCCTGGAAGACGAAAACGGTCAAAACACCTTCCGCGTTTTTTTTTTTTTTTTTTTTTTTTTTTTTTTTTTGTTTTTTGTTTTTTTTGTTTGTTCCCAGCCCTCCTGCGTTGGGTTCTCGTTTTGAATAGAGCACTGCTCGCGCGTCGCCTTCCTTACTTCCTTCCTTCCTTCCCGCCCCCTCCCGCCCCTCTCTTCCCCCTTGCCTTTCGCCTCGCTCGCCACTGCGTGCCAGCTGGGGGGCTGCGATATGTGAAACTGTCGCCACTTTCGAAGCCTGCTGGGGGGCCCAGCACGGTGGGCACCCGCGGCGGATTCAAATGGGACCTCGCCATCCCTGGGGGGCTGCGATCTGTGAAACTGTCACCACTTTCGAAGGCTCCTGGGGGGCCCAGCACAGTCTGCACCCGCGGCTGATTCAAATGGGACCTCGCCATCCTTGGGGGGCTGCGATCTGTGAAACTGTCGCCACTTTCGAGGCCTGCTGGGGGGCCCAGCACAGTCTGCACCCGCGGCTGATTCAAATGGGACCTCGCCATCCCTGGGGGGCTGCGATCTGTGAAACTGTCGCCACTTTCGAGGGCTGCTGGGGTGCCCAGCACAGTCTGCACCCGCGGCGGATTCAAATGGGACCTCGCCATCCCTGGGGGGCTGCGATATGTGAAACTGTCACCACTTTCGAGGGCTGCTGGGGGGCCGAGCACAGTCTGCACCCGCGGCGG